TTAACCGGTTTCCACACAAGCACCTCATTAAATTGAAAACAAAGTAAAATTCATTGCTGCACCAGCAACCTTTATTTTCTGTAATGCTTAAAAATCACTTACCCCTGTAGCCTTCTGGCTTACTTGTGGAACAGGCCCAGAAAAGCATCCTAGTGTTGATGAAGTTTACAACTTCTGGGTTGCACATTGTATTACTGAAGTGGAAACAAACTGGCATTTAGTCATTCATCACTGATAAGCTGCCAAACTCCTGAGCCCCATCATTATGCAGAGATATAATTCACTGGGTGACAGTAAATCACTAATACTTCCTGAGTGACCTTTCTCTACATGAGAGATAGTAGGTTGGTGTGACAGTGACCCTTTGGTCAAATATGATCCCTAAACTCTACCCAGGCATGCACATAACAAATGGCCACTTAGGTACCTTGCTGGAGACACGCTGGTTCCACTGGAATCATAACATGAATCATTATGGGCGGAGGTGCAAACTGAAAAACCAAAACTATCTTTGGTATAATGCCCTAATTAGTACAATACAAATGTAGCACAAATAACAAAGGTATAGATGATTGCAAATAAACCATTTACAGTATTCAAAATTTAACATATTTCAAACTTCTGGGCTTCCTCTACAACAAAGAGCTGTTGTTATTTCCTATAGGACTAATATAAATCCCTGACATCACTGAACTCCTGACATGTTCATCCCAAATTTATTCCATTATATTCCACGCAAAAGATAAATAGTGGACAAGGTCCCTAGAACACTATGAATATAAGCTGTTTAAATGAAGTATGAACGGCCAGGGTGACAAGTCCAGCTAACTATTTAATGGTAGGTCCAACATTAAAAGGCTCTTCTTTCCTTTATCCATATGTACCGATAATTACAATAGTTATGGCAAACACCAACAGCCAGCAGACCAGATTTAATAGGTTTTGATGAAAGACTTTTGATCTAACAGATACTGCCAAACCTGCTGAGATTTTTGAGCAATTTAGGTTTGATTCCAAAATAAAAACAAAGGCTCCTCCTGACTTCTATCATTTAGTACATCATTTGATCCACTTACGCACTCAACAAGAATACATTCTTTTTATTATTTTTAAAACAAGGACAGTTATTGTCATTTTCACCCTTTGGTCAATAAACCACAGACAACTGACTGCTGGTTACAAAAACAACACTACTTTCATTTTTGTTGGCTGGGTAAATCACCCTGTTTGCTGAGCAACTAGTGACTATATAAATTACCTAAAGCTTTTCTACACGAGCGTTGTGACTGCAGATCAATACTGTGTTGATGCAGAATTATATACATTTTATTGCACAGAAATAGGCATTAAGCCCAACTGATGTGTGCCAGTTTATAACATTCCCCAACACTATCATGTTTAAATTTGTAAAACTACAGTCAATAGTCCTCAAACATAATCAACAAAAGTAGCAGCATTCACAATTTTAAGAAATTACAATTGCAAGTTGCTTGAGAAATGAAAAATTATTACACTCACCGGCAGAACTCATCGGTGTCCTGATGGTCATCTCCATGAAGGTAAACTAATAAATAGCGTAGCTCTCGTTTAGCATCATTCAGTGCCTGTATTCAACATTGAAGATAATGCACATCTAAATCATGTCCAATAACTTTATTTGAAAAAGAAAACGCAATAATAAAAATAATCTAGCATTGGGTCTATGTTGTGGAGGTGGTGCCGGCGAACTGGGGTGGACAAAAATCAGAAGTCACATGACACCAGGTTATAATGCAACAAGTTTATTTGGAATCCAGCAAGCTTTTGAAGTGCAGCCCCTTTGTCAGGTGCAGTGAGAGAGCAGGGCACACACACACACGCACAGTGTTTGTAGGCAGAGAGATCAAAAGATCATACAACTGGTGTGAGTGGAGCATCAGATAAGTCTCTGCACGTGACCAAGAGTGTTAGACAGTGTGCGCAATGTTTATAAAGTCAACGTCAGTGCTGTGCTGCGCTGCCATGACAATCTGGCAGAGCTATAGCAATATACAAAACATGACAAGTCAGGTTAGACATTGAATTGTATGCGTGAGGCTTTGTTCAAAATCTGTTGTTTCAGAATTTTAAATTTGGAATCAGGCTGGTCTTATTCCGAAAGTTAGAATTTATAAGATGCCACACTGATCGACTGTGACTACAAATTGTGCGTTTTTTGAAAAAAATAGAACGTATCTGCAAATAAACAAACGTCTTGGATAGATATGTACAGGTGCGCATGGTGAGAGAGAGACAGCACAAGCACGCAACAGAACAAGAGCGTGTGGGTGAGCCATTGTCATACAAAAATAGAACAGACTACTGCGAAGAACCATGCTGACAAATGAACAACCAGGAACACTACAGAAAACTACCTGTCAATCCAAGCAAAGAATACACCCGTCAACTCAGACTGATCAAGAATTTTGATCCAGTCTTTGAGTATCCTATATACTTTCATCCCATGTACTTCTCGCACAGGAGACTTCTACTGCCTTCTGAAGATACACAAAAGCCAACACAGCTGGACGTCCCATCATACCAGACAATCGGACCTGTGAGAGAACCTCACTGATTATGTCAAAGGCATCTTGAAACCCACTGTACAAGGTACCCCCAACATCTGTCATGACACTACAGATTGCTTACAGAAACTCAGCACCCACAGACCAGTCGAACCAGGAACATTCCTCGTCACAATGGATGTTTCAGCACTTTACACCAGCATCCTCCACGATGACAGCATTGCTGCAACTCAATACCAACAACTGCGAATTTCCAGATACATCCTACAACTCATGCGCTTCAACCTCAACCACATCTTCACCTTTGACAACCAGTTCTTCATCCAGACACACGGAACAGCCATGAGAACCAAATCTGCACCTTTAGTATGCCAACATTTTCTTCCATAAGTTTGAACAAGACTTCTTTGCTACCCAGGACCTCCAACCAATGCAATACACTAGCTACACTGACCACATTTTCTTCCTTTGGACTCATGGCAAGGAATCACTGAAACAAGTGCATAACAGTCTCAACAAGTTTCATCCCACCATCAGATTTACCATTGACTTCTCTTCAGAATTAGTCTCATTCTTGGACACATGCATCTCCATCAGGGAAGGACACCTCAGTACCTCACTCTAACGCATGCCCACGGATAACCTCACGATGCTGCACTTCTCTAGGTTCCACCCTAACCACATTAAAGCAGCCACCCATACGGACAGGCTTACGCATACACGAAATCGGCTCAGATGAGGAGGAATGCGACAGACACCCAAAGGTTTTGAAAGATGCCCTTATAAGAACGGGATAAGATGCTCAACTCTTCGATTGCCAGTTTCAACGAGCCACAGCAAAAAAAAAACGCAACGACCTCCTCAGAAGACAGACACAGGATAAGACTTTGTCATCTGGTATTTCCCTGGAGTGGTGAAAATACACTATGTTCTTCACAGCATTCAACAGGTCATCGACAATGAGCCTCCACATCTTGCCTTCAAACAACCACCAAACTTTAAACATACCATCGTTCGCAGCCTTCAGGACATCAACCATAACACCAAATCACCTGCCATGGCAACCTCTGCAAAACATGTCAGATCATCGACTTGGACACTAACATCACACATGGGAACACCACCCACCATGTTCATGGCAGATACTCATATGACTTGCCCAACGTTGTCTCACTCTCTCACGCTACAGGCAAGTATATCCCGAGGCATGGTACATTGATGAGGCCATGCAGATGCTATGGCAACGGATGAATAGACACCATGCAACAAATCACTAGACAGAAACGTTCCCTCCCAGTCAGGGAACACTTCAGCGGCCAAGGACATTCAGCCTTTGATACACAACAATGCAGAATCACCGAGCAGAGACTGATAGCCAAGTTTCGTACCCATGAAGGCGGCCTCAACCGTGATCTTGGGTTCAAGTAGCACTACAGGTGACCCCACCACACTGTTCTGTATTTAATAACTTTCTTCCTTATTTTCCTGTTTTGATAGCATCACCTTGATGATCTCTCTACCTTAATTGGTTTGTACAGTTTGGAATTACTTATCACACCTCACACACACACACACACAATCATTTCATCCAAAACATTTATTTGCAGATACATTCTATTTTGTTCAAAAAACGCACAATTTGTAGTCACAGTCAGCATGGCATCTGATAAATTCCAGCTTTCATAATAGAACCAGCATGAATCCAGGTTAAAACTCAGATTCTGATCAAAGCCTCACATCTATAATTCAGTGTCTGACCTGAGATGTCACCTTTTGTACATTCCTGTGGCCCTGCCCGATTGTCATGACAGCACAGCACTGACATTGACTCTATGAACACTTTACCTACTGTCTAACGCTCTTGGTAACCTGCAGAGACTTATCTGACGCTCTACTCACACCAATTGTATGATCTTTTGATCCCTCTGCCTATAAACACTGTGTGTGCCCTGCTCTCTCACTGCACCTGACAAAGGGACTGCACTCCGAAAGCTTGCTGGATTCCAAATAAACCTGCTGGACTATAACCTGGTGTCATGTGACTTCTGACTAGACCTATGTTGAATAAGTTTATAATGAGGCAGCTTGGGTAAACTAGAAAATCATAGATTTCTTTCTTAACAAGACTTTAGCACAAACAAGGAAATCTTTACTGGAATTGATTTAGAAAGATATTGCATAGTGTTTCATAGAAATTGAGTGGTGTTTGTGTAAGCAGCAATAATCTTTGATGCCCTCTGACTTAACTGTTCTACAGTAGGGAATCTTTTAGCTACTGTCCAGTGATTCTGACCAAAGGTTCCTACATGGGCATCAGCCGTAAGTGTGACAGAAGCAAAATACTTCATGGATGATCTGGCTAAACTGTGATCAGCTATGATCAAAGATAAACTTATAGAAGAAAAACTCATGAGGCTTTGAAGTTTCAATTTAAAAGCAATTCAATTGTATATTGCTTAGCTAGGTAAAGTAGTAAGTGTAATAAGTTATTTATAACTAAGCTTCTGTTCACAACACCCATGCATTGGAGGTAGCAAAAAAAATAAACAAACACTGCCTAAAATGCAAGTAGACACTGGAAGGAAAGATACCAAGTTTAGCTGTGTTTACCCAATTTACTTTTGCTTCTATATAATTTTATTTATAATAATGAAGTGGATTTATAGCTTTTGGCAGGAGCTATATGCTTGATGTTTACCAAGGTATCTAAAGCACAGTTGGCAGGCAATAATGTTCCAACAATACAAGGATCCACAATATAGGATAGATAAGCAATTGTCTCATAACCAGTAGCATAGGCTAATTGTCTGCCCATGTGAAGTGCAAGCTTGCAAATAGTAAACAGTTTCTTGAATGGAGTTCAAATAAAGCGTAAATAGTGGAAACCATAATAATGGTGTCTTGCAAAACTATACATCAATTTGATTAATGACTTTAGAAGAGAAGAAACAATTCGCAACTTTTTTTAGGGGGTTAGGAGTGCGCAGGAAGATAATGTTCAAATCGAACAGTAAAACAGCATGAATTGTAAACTTAAAATAACTGTAAATGTAGTTTTGTACAAACCTGACTGTAGGTTCCTTGATAAAAGACTGGATGGATCCTTCCATACTGTTCCTCAAAATTCTGAATAAATGATACTACATCCCCAACAGGATCAGTAACACGACTCCTAGGATCTGGTCGTATAAACCTTATAGCAAATCTATTCAAAAAGAGAGTTTAGATTGAGGATTTTTTTTTTGTTAACATGATGCTTTGTGAAACTTTTCAGTATCTCACCTAAAAATGTCCAGCAGCGTGTAATAGGTGAATCGGAAAGGAAGCATTATCAAGTAATAACTCCATCCTAAGAGACCCTGTAAAATTCAATGGATATTACTGTTAATCACTCCATTACAAAAACTGTACAAACCCAATGGTTTTTGCTCTTATTAAAACAAACAAATTTAGATTAGTTTTATATTGCACATAAGCAAACCTCACCAATGGCTTGACCATACTAACCCACCAGGTCACATAAAATACAAACCTATATTGGATACTTGAAGGACAGGGGGTACAATGCAAATGAGTACATAAACTAATTTTATGAATGAGGTCACTAAGTATTGATGAGCTACCTCTTAAAACTATGATTAATGATTTCTCTTGCCCTACCAGCAATCCATTTTAAATAAGCAAGGAATAAAATGAGTTATGGATATAATGTCAGTCATAATCAAGATTCAATGTAATTTCAGTTGGGGAATTCTCAACCATTTTCTAATAATGAGTTACAAATGAGCATATTATATCAAATTTAATCATAAATAATGCAAAATATGATTCGATGACTTCATTTTTATAAAATTAATTTTAAAGTGAAAAAATGAATAAAATAACTAATACGGCCTCACCCTAGGCTGAGGTCTTGAAACTACATAACTATAGACTCTGTGATCTGCTGTGTGGACTTGAAGTGGGCGAGAGGAAGGTGGGTTGAAGACACTGGGAACGCCCTCTTGTTCATTTAACCTATCCTGAACAGCTGCCTAGAAGACAAAAATAGAAACGGATGAGAAAAATTTAAGATCGAGAATAATTTAAATAATCAAAACTAAATCCATAAAATAGGTTAAATTTTAAATCATAATGCATGTTATTTATACAAAGTGACCAATCACAAACTGTTAATGCTCACCAGCACTCTTAGTAATATATCAAAACAAGGAGAACAGTCAAAGTGAGTGAAATATCAGAAACATTTCTCAAATAGGAGATAGCACATAGAAAGTCATTTTCGAATCAATGCCAAAACCCACGGTAATATTTTGTATACAACTTTGTTTGCTTCCTTTGTACCTCAATGTTCCAATGATGTTGCTCAAGTGTACGGCGACATTGGTCCATTGAGTCGATACCTGTTAAGTCCTATGGTGAGAAATATCACAAGAAAAATATTTTAATCAAAACAGTACAGATACATTTACATTGAAGTATTAAATTTAAATATCCATTTACATTATTTGGTGCTTCAGGCAACTAATATTTTATTGTTTTTAGTGGGTGGTTAGATGTATCTTTTCACTTTTCGAGCCTTCACCAAAAACTCATGTTTAGAGATCAGTTGAGGAGCTGGTTTAAATACGTAAGTATTCAAAGAATATTCAAAATGACATTCAAAAACAGAAGTTGCTGGAAAAGCTCAGCAGTCTGGCAGCATCTGTGAAGAAAATAAATCAGAGTTAACGTTTCGGGTATGGCGACTATCCTCAGAACTGATGGAAGCTGGGAAAACGTTGGTTTATATACAGAAAATAGGGAGGGGAATGGGGTAGGGAGTAAACGATAGGATAGAGCCTGAACAGAGGTCTTCGGTTTTCGTTCCTGATTTACAGCATCCGCAGTTCTTTCGGTTTCTACTCAAAATGATGTACCTAATTAAACATTGAATTAATTATCTCTGAACCATCACACTCAATCAGCTAACATTCAGTAATGAACAAGCAGGTATTTCCACTGCCTAAATATTGCGATCACTGAAGTTTGTCTGTTACCACCAGAATCTCTGTTCTCCAACAACCTTTTCCATCTCCATACCTGCCAAATTTGAAAATGGAGGAAGATTATGCACAACTTTGCAATTGTGTTTGACTCCAATGAGTTTTCTACCACATATCCATTCCATTTCCCAAGACTATATACACATCCACATCTGCTTCAAGTAATATGCTGCTGACCCTCATCTGTACTTGAGATATAGTCAAGCCCATGCATAATGTTCCTCTTGATGGACTCCTCTGTTCCACCCTAATAATCTCATCCAAAGCTAGATTGCCTATCAATATATTGATAGGCAAAGTACCAGTGTAAATCAGCAACAGCTTAATCATGTTAAAAATAAACCCTGGCTTTAAAAACCCTCCATGGTCTCATCTCTCCCCACCTCTGCAAGTTTTTCCATTCATACAGCCATCCAAGATTTCCACAATCTCCAGGTTTTGGCCTATTGCACATCCACTTTTAATTGTTCCACCACTGGGATCATTCTTTCAGCTGTCAAGCCCCTAACATCTAAAATTCCTACACAAGTCCTCTTGGGTTTCCTCCTCCTTCAAAATTAACTTTTCGACCAAGTTTTTGGTCACGAACCCCTCTTCTACGTGTCTCCCCTGCGGTTATCCATATTGTAAAAAAAAATTCTTGTTCAGTGTCTTGGGGCATTTTTCTACATCAAAGTCCCTATACAAACAATTTGAGAGTTCCTATGGTGAAGTGGTAGTGTCCCTACCTCTGGGCCAATATATTAGGGTTCAAGTCCTACCTGCCCCAGGTATTTCACAATGTCTGAAAAAGTTTCCAGGCTGGACAATTCTATGACTATGATTCTAAGGTGATTTGTAACATCTATACATCAAGTTGTTACTAAATTGCCTCTACAACTTAAAATGTAATTTGTACCTTAGGGCCAACACAAAAAATTCAGACTTGGCATTTCATTTTCTCTTCTCTCTTCCTCTGCCTCCACTCAACAACCCCACCCACTCTTTCAAGGAAGGTATGAGACTGTGCTGCAACCACTCTGCAACCTTCTATCTCCTCGTGGTTGAACTGAGAACAAACAATTTGAGGAAACTTCCTGATAGCTGGTGATGCAGTCAATTTCATCCACTCTTGCCTTGCAAAATGCTTAACTGGCAGTACAAGAATCTCACCTTTTGTGATATCAGATCGAATGTAAGATTTTATATATCACCTGAACTAAACATACAGGATACAAGTGTAAAATCATACAGTTACAGTGTCTGATTTGAAAATCTTTAAAAAATTGATGTTGAAAATTCAGAGAAATACTTGTTCATTGAGATGAGTTCTGCCTTTTCAACTTTCAACTAATTGATGTAATTCCTAAGTTACTATTTCATTTAATGTAATGTTCTTCTTTTCCAAGGGATAGAATTTCACAGACCCCTAACATTTACGAGTTTTAACAACAAGTTCCAGATAGCTTTCCACACACTTAATAAAATCTCAATTTAAATACTTTACACTAAGCTTAGCATACATCAATCCTGCAAAACACTTAGATTTATTTCATGTGAACATTTCACTACACAGTCATGTTTCTTCAAGAAAAAGGATAAAATTAAAATGTTCCAAATGCTCCACAGCTGCTGCCAGGCCGGCTGGGGTTTTCTAGCAATTTCTGTTTTTGTTAAAGTTAAAATGGTTTCAGTTAAGATTATCACCAAATGTTTATTCAGCATAAAATATAGATCCAGTTAATTCAATTTTTAAAACTATTAGAGTTTTAACTGTTTACAATTTTGTAAACGAAACGGTAGTTGACAGAGCAAGAAAAAAACTAAGTGAATTATGCCAGACGGAGGATTACCAGAAAATGTGAATACAGAAAAATGCCACAGGTGCAGAAGCTTTAGCCCTTCAGCAGGACTAAATTAATTCAATTAATGAATTAAAAAGTACCTCAGAATGACAATTCATGTCGCCCTCTGTGGAATTCTGTTAAGTTTGATGAATTTACCTGAAACTGCAACAGTTTCTCTGTTTGTTCTTGCGTTAGTTCCTCCTCTTCATTGCCAGGCGCCGCCATCTTGGATCTTGCGTTCCAGGCCCGTGCGGAAGTAGATGATTTTTGGGTAAAGTCGCAATCACGAAACGCAAAAAAAAATGCGGCCCAAGCAGTAGTTGAGTTCTGGAATTGCACCGATATTTAGAAATGGTACGAGGTGTTTCTACGCATCCGGTTTTGGATTTCGATGCATTCCAGCACGGGGGGGTTACGGAAACAGCCGACGCTCTTCGGTAGTTCTCGGAGTCGCTCGGCGCCGACCTCAACCGTCGATGGAGTTGCGGCGCCTGGGTTGAGAGGTTGCAAGTTCAATTCAGTGCAGCACGTGATAGCTTATGGGAGCTGGGCCGGGATTCCAGAACTTTAGCCTGGGATTCCAGAACCTTGGCCCGGGAGTTCTAGAACTCTACAACACCAATACTCGTATCCGCTTATTTTACGTTTAGTGCCCGTCGCAACACGTGTCTCTGGAGGTTTCCTCCCCTTACTGCCGTCCTCAACACCGAATATGGGTCTTGATGTATGAGACTGAGCGCAAACAAAATTGCGTTGCCAATGCACAAAAATACTGACAATAGTTGAAACACGTGGGTGGAAAAGATGTTACTGAAGTTAGACATGCTAGATATAGAATGGTATCACGCTAATGTTTGCAAAGTAGTTTTCCAAGCAATTAATGTTCAAACTTTTAGCTGGGAGTTTTTTAGTCGTGATTAAACATTGACTTTTTTGATTCACGTTTTGAAATTCTCCACTCAGGTTAAATTTGCCTTCTGAGTTCATTGCCGTCTTACCTTAACATTTCCCTCCATGTAAACTCCCCAAACCACATTTGCAACCATCCACTGATCTTGCAATTAATCTTACACAGCCTCAATATTCTCATACCAGTCGCTTCTTATCTCCACTTACATCCCATTTCCAACCTTCCTGCCTCCTGTATATGCTCATAGAAAGCTTCTTCAATTTACACTCAACAGCTGTACTTTCAAAATCCCACTATCTAGCCTCTGATCTTCAACAAAACAAGTCAACTGCACCTACACCTCCAGGCTTGATACTCTACAATTGCCATTAGCGGCATGAGTCTCACCCTTTGCTCATCTCCCTTAAATAGAAGGGTAACAGACTTGAATAGATATGGCAGACAACTAGTTTAGGCATTCATTGCGAGGTCTTACTTGACTGCTGCTGCTAGATCTTGCTCTCCTAAGCTAAAACTGCTTATTTTACCAGAATGATACTAATAAATAAACATAAACAATAGCTCCTCTTGTTTACTGCAAACTATCTTAATTCCCTCCCGCTTGCATCCATCAATTGCACCTCTGACAACACCTCTAAGGTTTCAAATTCTCAGGCTCTCTCAAAGTACTTTACAACAAATTAGTTACTTGTGTAGTTTTGGAATTTAGGAAATATAACTCCTATTTGTGCACAGCAGTCTGCCACAAACAGCAATTTGATAACGAATGTTCTGGAGTTAATTCAGGACTAAGTATTAGCAAGGAAACCATGATTAACATCTTCACTGCCATGCGATTGTTCTGAGAAATCTGAGAAGGGCATCTCTGACAGTTTAGTACTTGATTTTTGTGCTTAAGTCCTGCAGCAGGACTTGAAATCATAACACCTGATTCAGAGGATGACAATACTACATACTGAGCCACAAATGACTGATCCTATATCCCCAACTGCCCTTATAACTTCATCTTGTCCATTATTCTCACCTCCTACTTCCTGGTCGCTTTTCCACTAAACTGTTGACCAACTTCCTTTCTATGATTCCATGTTAGTTGACATTATTAATGGTTCTATCTTCTCAGATACTATTCTACCTGACCTAAAAACAATCCTTCACTCCTGACCTTAATCCTTACAAACTGCCACTCCATTTTCAAACTATATTTCCAAGATCCTTAAACATTCTGTTGTCACTGAATCTGTATTCATATTTCTCAAAACCTCATATTTGAATCCACCCAAATTATGTTTCTATGGCTGCCTAACTGAAATAGCTCTTCCTAAAGTTATAAATGACATCTTATTTGTGTGTGACAGTAAAATATATTTTTATTCTTCTCAATTTGTCTGCAGCCTATAATTTTGAATGATCATATCAAGTTCTTCCAATGCCTCTTCACTGTTGTCTCGCTTTAATAGAAAACTTGCCCGGTTTCATGCTCATCTATTTAATTTTAATCTAACAATAACCTTTATCTTCTTTTGAACTGTTACCTTTGACCCCTACCTATTTCTCCTCTACATCTCTCCCTCAGTGACATTATCAGGAAACACTCTCAATTTCCATGTATATACTGATGATAAACTACTCATGTTTCTCAATCCTCCACACTCTCTACATGATCAGATTGTTGATCCAACAGAAATTTCTTCTCAGGAAATGAGCGACATTTCCTCCAATTCTATATCGGGATGACCAAAATCATTATATTCAGTTCCCCCCCACCAACCCCACACACATCCCATGCTCCATTTCCTAGCCACCAATTCAGTCTCCCTGGCAACCATCAGAAGCTGAACCCAACTCTTTGCAATGCAGCATCAATCCAAGGTGAGTTTCCAACTATATATCTGCCCAATCACTAAGTGTGCTTGCTTCCACATTGCAACATCATTGGTTAACATCCCTCAAATCATCTGCTGCTGAAATCCTTTCTAAACAACTGTATAACATCTATAATTATTCAAATACATTCCTGGGCAGCTTCTTATTACTCTCAGTTAGCTTGAAATCATCCAAATCTCTGCTGCCAGTGTCCAAGCTCAGATTAAATCCTGTTCACCCATCATCACTATGCTCACCGACCAAAGTTGTTTCAGATTTAAGCAATTCCTTAATTTAAAATTTTTCATCCTTGTTTTCAAATAACTCCACGGCCTCACCTCTCCCTCTCTGTGTCATCTCTTCCAACTCTATAACTGTCCAAAGTACCTGCACTTTTCAAAGCTGACCTTCTAAGCATATCCATAATGTTCCGAGTTACCATCACCCTAGAATTGCTTCCTTAATTTTTTTTTTTCTTTAAAACATTCCTTAAAACCTACATTTTTGACCATCCTAAAATTTCCAGTGATTGGTCTCAAATTTTACTCATGTTTCTATGAAGTACCTCAGGAATTTGACGACCTTAATTGCAGTATGTAGATACAAATTCTTGTTAAAACACTATTTTCAAGAATGTCATTATTAATAAACAATAAAATAGATATTTTATCTTGGCTCAAATAACAGTACTCCTTATGTTCTATTAACTAACCTGAAGTAGCCAGTAGTCTAGACATGTTTTCTGTTAAAGCATAGGAGACATCAACCCAAATTTTAAAACAAAAACTGGCAAAAACGATTGCTTTCTAGAGGGGCAAAACTAATCAAATCCTAAATCCTACAAAACAAACAGCCTTGGAGACTTTGCTTGGTTAGTGTGTTGTGTAAATACTATTTGACACAATTATCATTTCCATTATCTGTTACAAATTCCTGCAGCTTCAGCATAGAAAACTTCACACCTACTGGCAGCCTTCACCAGGACCACTCAGGAATTGATGTAGCTGTAGACGTGAAGGAACATGGTTCTGACAGCACCATTGAAATGTTGTGAAAGCTAGGACTGGAGTAACTAAAGGGCAAGTTGACATACGTCGCAATATTATGACTTAGTCTATTAGGTTGTTGTTTCCTTTTTAGAATTTGGAGGTTTATCTCTTGTGATCCTTTGCTATTTTTTTATAAAGTTGATGAAGACACCAAGGCAATCCAGTGTTATCATGACTAGCCGGTAAGAAGAGTAATGAGGCAGGCAGCCAAACATTCCTTGGCCTCAACATTCCTGGGTTGGAAGGTAAAACTCAAAATTTAATCCAAGGATCTCTGCTTCGTAATGCGAGTGGGTGGGCATTGGATGAGGACAGACATGAAGTTATTAACTTGCATTCCACGTTCAAATGGTTGATCAAGATTCAGCACATGCACACACTGACACAATAGCAGCTTAAGCAGCACGTTTTGAATGGATCATTGAACTAAGGTGAGTAGAAGATTAAATATCCCCAAATGTAAATCATATCTCTCTTTGTGTCATGTTAAACTATTCACTGTCATACAATTTCCCTTAATTGAAACTTTGTATTCTCTTTCATTGTTATCAATGTTAAAGGCTCTATTATTGGTCACATTGTACGTGAATAAAATTAGTAAACCTTAAGTATTTATTCATTTAAATGAATCAGACTGTAAAAATGTCTCAAACAAAACTTTAAAACAACCCACTATGAATAACTTAATAGCTGATTTAATTCTGAAAATATTTTTGCCATGACTACAATTCAGATGACTCTCCGCCTTGCATAGTAAAGCTGGAAATGAACCATAATCTGCTGAATGATGGCTGAAAGTATGGCTTGTGGTAAAAATGGAATATTATTTAAATGATGAAAAATTGCAGCATACTGCTGTTCAGAGGGACCTGGGTTCCTTGTGCATGAATCACAAAAAGTTCATTTGTAGGTACAGCAGGTAAGTAAGAAGGCAAATGGAATATTATCCTCATTGATAGAGGGATGGAGTTTCAAAATAGCAAGGTTATGCTGTAGCTGTATAGGGTGCTGGTGAGGCCACAACTGCAGTACTGTATGCAGTTATGGTCTCCTTACCTGAGAAAGGATGTACTGGTACTGGAGGGGGTGCAGAGGAGGTTCACTACGTTGATTCCAGAGTTGCGAGGGTTGGCTTACGAGGAGAGAGTGAATAGACTGGAACTATACTCATTGAATTTAGAAGAATGAGGAGGGATATTATAGAAACATAAAATTATGAAGGGAATAGGCAGAATAGAAGCAGGGAGGTTGCTTCGACTGGTGCGTGAAACTCGAACCGGGGGCATAGCTTCAAAACAAGCGGGAGCAGATTTAGGATGAAGTTGAGGAGAAACTTCCTCACTCAAAGAATTGTGAATCTGTGGTATTCCCTACCCAGAGAAGTGTTCAAGCTATGGAGATAGAAAGAGCTGCAGATACTGCAGTCAGAGTCAATACAGCGTGGAGGTGGAGGGACACAGCAGTTCAGGCAGCATCAGAGGAGCAGGAAAGTCATCATTTCAGGTTTGTATCCTTCATCAGGACTCATGAAGGGTGTAAACCTGAAACATCGACTTTCCTGCTCCTCTGATGCTGCCTGACCTGCTGTGTCCCTCCAGCTCCACACTGTATTGAGTGAAGCAGTTGAAGCTACCTCATTGAATGTTTTTATTATTATTATTATTATCATCATAGAATCCTTACAGTGTGGAAACAGGCCATTCGGCCCATGGCAAAGATAGATAGATTTTTGAAACGTAAAGGAATTAAGGGTTATGGTGAGCAGGCGGGTGAGTGGAGCTGAGTCCACAAGAAGATCAGCCATAAAGTCATACAGCACAGAAACAGGTCCTTCGTTCCAAACAGTCCATGTCAAGCATAATTCCATATCTCTCCAAGCCTTTCCTATTCATGTACTTATTCAAATGTCTTACAAACGTTGTATATCTACATGCATCCACCACTTCCTCAGGAGGTTCATTCCACACGCAAACCACCCTCTGTGTAAAAAATTTGCCTCTTATGTCTTTTTTAAATCTCTCTCCTCTCACCTTAAAAAGTGCCCCCTAGTCTTGAAATCTCCTATCCGAGGTAAAGACAACTACCATTAACTCTATCTATACCTCTCATTATTTTATAAAGTTCTAACAGGTTGCCTCTCAACCTCCTACAGTCCGGTCAGAAAAGGCCCAGCCTATCCAGCCTTTCTTCACAACTCCACACCCGGCAATATCCTGGTAAATCTCTTATGAATGCTCTCCAGCTTGATAGTATCCTTCCTATAACTGGGCCACAACAACTGGACACAGTATTCTAGAAGAGGCCTCACCAATGTCCTGTACAACCTCAACATGACTTCCCAACTCCCATACTCAAAGAACTGAGCAATGAAGGCAAGCATGCCAAACACCTTTTTAACCACCCTGTCTATATGTGATGCAAGCTTCAAAGAATAATGTACCCCTACGTTCCTCTGTTCTACAATACTACCCAAGGCCCTACAATTAATTGTATAAGGCCTTGTTTGTTGTACCAAAATGCAATACCTCCCACTTGTCCAGACTGAACTCCATCTGCCATTTTTCAGCCCATTGACCCATTTCATCAAGATCTCTTTTTAATCTTAAAAAGCCTTCTTCACTGTCTACTATGCCACAAATTTTAGTGTCGCCCACAAACGTACTAACCATGCCTTCTATATTCTCATTTATATAAGTGACAAACAAGGGGACCCAGAACCAATCCTTGTGGAACACCGCTGGTGACAAGCCTCCAGTCTGAAAAGCAACCCTTCACCATTACCCTCTGTCTTCTGCCGTTAAGCCAGTGATATATCCAATTGGCAAGCTCACCCTGAATCCCATGTGATCTAACTTTACTAATTAGTCTACCATGCAGAACCTTGTCTACTAAACAATGTCTACTGCTCTGCTATCCTCAATCTTTTTGGTAACTTCCTCAAAAAACTCAATCAAGTTTGTGAGACACGATTTTCCTTGCACAAAACCATGCTGATAATCCCTAATCAATTTTTGTCTCTCTAAATGTCCATAAATCCTACCCTCTTTAATCACCTCCAACAATTTACCCACAACTGAAGCCAGACTCACAGGTCTATAGTTCCCCAGTTTCTCCTTACAACCTTTCTTAAACAAAGGTACAACATTAGCCACCCTCCAGTCATCAGGCACCTCACCCATAGTTATAAATGATGCAAACATTTCTGCAAGGGGTCTCATAATTTCCTCCCTTACTTCTCACAACATTATGTGGTACATTAGATGAGGTCCTGGAGATTTATCCAAATTTGTATTCTCTAAAACCTCCTGAACTTCCTCTTCTGTCATGTGAACTGTTTTTAAAACACCAAAATTTATTTCTCTGCATTCTCTAGACTCCATTTCTTTCTCCACAGTAAAAACTGATTGCAAAATATTCATTTAGTATCGCTCCCATCTCCTGGGGTTCAACACAAAGATGACCTCCTTGATCTTTAACAGGCTCTACCTTCTCTCTAATTACCCCCTTGCTGTTAATGTATTTGTAGAATCTCTTTGGATTATCCTTAACCTTGTCTGCTAATGCTATCTCATACACCCTCTTTGTCTTCTTGATTTCTCTCTTAAGAATGCCCTTACACTCTTTATATTGATTAAAAGATTCAATTGAACCAAGTTGTCTATATCTAAAATAAGATTCTTTTATTCTTGACTAGAACCTCAATATCTTCATTCATCCATTGTTCCTTAATCTTACCAGCCTTACCCTTCACTCTAACAGGAACATAAAGCCTCTGAACTGTCATTACATTCTTGAAAGCCTCCCACTTGTCTGACTTCTTTTTACCTGTGAACAGTTTACTCCAATCATTTTTTGAAAGTTCTTGTCTCATACCATTAAAAGTTGTCTTACTCCAACTAAAACCTTTAACTTTTATGGAAGGCTTATCCTTTTCAATAACCATCTTGAAACTAATAGAATTATGATTGCTAGACCCAAAGTGTTCCTCCAGTTTTACTTCAGTCACCTGCCTGCCTTATTGCCTAAAAGAAGGTATAGTTTTGCTCCTTTTCTAGTAGGGCCACCCAAGTATTGATAAAGAAAATTTTCTTGAATACGTGATAAATTCTTCATCATCCAAACCTTTGACACGACGGTAGTCCCAGTGTTCGGAAATTTAAAATCCCCGATTGTCGCAATCTTATTATGCCTACACAATATGTGAGATCTCCCTACATATTTGTTTCTCAATTTCTGTTGGACTACAACCTGGTGTTGTGTGACTTCTGACGTTGGCCACCCAAGTCCGACACCGGCATCTCCACATCATGGATTTTATATGTCAGGTTTCTTTTAAATTTTTCTCTATTTATCTCCCTTCACCCCATCAACCTGTTCAGGAATGTTATTTCATACCTCTGGAGAGGATGAGACCTGAACCCAAATCTGTGATGGTGTCCCTACCACTATCCTATGAGAACCTCATCAATTTAATTTATTGCTTACTATCTCCTATACCATTGGTAGAGACGCTTGGCAATCACCTTTACAGGGTAAACCTGTATGCGCAGGCGCAATGGGAATGTGACGTGGGGACGGAACCCTAGCGCATGGCTGTTGTATAAAGGTGACGTCGGTGCGATTACGGGCTATTTCCGGTTTTCCTGCAGCTGACTTCCGATTTTGCTTCGAGTCTCGAACCCGGTCTTTTGAAGATGGCGGAAGACTTCGGTTTCTTTTCGTCGGACAATGGTACCACGGGCAGCACTGAGGAGGATCCGGCCGCCGCGTTCCTGGCGCAGCAGGAGAGTGAGATCGCCGGCATCGAGAACGATGAGGGCTTCAGTATCTTGGACGGGGGCGAGGTGCCGCCGGCCTTGCAGGTTCACTCCTCTCACGAAGCTGGAGGTGAGAGGGGCTGGGGGTGGGGAGTTGTGGGGTGTGGGGAAGTGGTGGGCGATGCTGGAGACTGCGGTGGTGGATTTTGTTTTCCGGCTGTGGTCTCACTCTGACCGTGTGGCTCGGCCTAGACCTGTCCAGGCGGGGCTGGCTGAGTTATTTCTCTCGCTTCTTCCGGCCTTCGCGCTGCTCTGACTCCTCAAGCTTTCCTGTATTCGGTTTGAATCTGGTGATACCAGAAGCCAGTCTTCCCGTACCGTCGCCCCCTGTGTCTTTGACTATCGGCAGCGGGGAATATCGCAACGTCATCTTGACACCGGCTACTCATTGCAAAAGAGCTCTTTTTTTTTTAAACGGCTGTCTTCCTGCCTCGCTTTCCGCTCCTGCGTTACTCGCGTGTAATCGGGCATCTGTCATTGTGCTGTTAGTTGAAGAATAACTTATCAGTGCTTGCACTTTTATAATGTTTTTCCGCGTAGCGGAAGACCCTATCGCAAACTGGCTAGTGCGTTATGTCAAACCGTGAACGAAGCACTTCTTCTGTGGGCTGTTTACTTTGACTCCTATTGGGATTTTTTTAAAGTAAGATACTCATTCTACCTGCTTTTCAGTTTTAACGGGCTTAGTACAAATGAACTAAGTCACTCATCAGTGCCCAGTGGTAAGATACGTGACATTTTAGCTGTTGCTACATCTGTACCTTAATACCTTGTCCACCCACTGCCCCTGTGAAGAAGCGACGTTGTTTTTTTTGTTTGTCATGACAGTTCACGGTTTTTCACCAGTAATGAGTATCAGTGCAACTAATACGAATCTGCTTGTGCGATTAAAGGTGAAGTAGTTCAAAATGTTTGATCGTTTGGATTAAAATGTCCAGGCTGTACTAAAAATTACACCCTTTTTAAATGCATGTGCTTAGTTAGATATTGAAATAAAAAAAACTGGAAACGTGCGATTTCACATTACCTATGTTTTTGTTTTTCTTAAAAGGTATAAAGACTTGAGTCTAGCTTTACAAATCAAAGCACCTGAAGAAGTATCCCAGTTAGATATTTGCTTCCTAAGCTATTTTATTGTTCTGATCCATTTAAGGGTCATTAATGCTATTCCATATCAAATGCTGTGGTGTTTTCACACTCAAAACAACACTACATATACACTAATTGTGAAGCACAAAGTTCAGTGGCTCTGGCAGCACTGTTTGGCGATGGGTAAATTTTACCCTTGAATAAGACTTCTGGGAAAATACAATCATGGGGTGACCAATTGAAGCAGTTGCTCCCTTGAGTGGAATTGAACAGCTATTTGTTTCTGTATCTGCCTACTGCTGGTTTGTGTTGGTATGTTCTAGTGATAGTACAAGTCTTTATTTTCCCAATTTTAACCTAACTGGGAGTCAGGACTAGCAATCACCAGAAGTTGAGTTCTTTTTAAAGTAGCATGGGATCATAGAGGCATAGAATCCCTACAGTGTGGAAGTATGCTATTTGGCCCATCAAATCCACATGGACCCTCTGAAGAGCATCCCACCCAGACCCAAACCCCTACCCTAACACTGTAACCCTGCAATTCTCATGTCTGACCACCTAGCTTGCACATTATAGGTAATTTAGCACAGTTAATCCACCTAACCAGCACATCTTTGGACTGTGGGAGGAACCTGGAGCAAATCCGTGCAGACACAGAATGTGCAAACTGCACACGGTCATCTGAGGTTGGAATCAAACCTGGGTCCCTGATGCTATGAGGCAGCATCTCCAAGGTTGCTACGTAAAGTTGAGGTCTGAGATGTTAAAATGGTAGAAACCGTATGATTGAAATGTTTCAGATTTGTATATGTAGCGGTAATACTTTAAGCCGTGAACTAACCAGTATGCTGAAGTTTAGAGAAAATACTTTAGATGAGTTATTTGAAATGTTTTTGCTAACTTGCCTTTTGTTCTGTCAGTTTAAATACTTTAAGTTGATTTCCTTGTGGCTTTGCTTAATGGAAGATTGATAGAAGAATTCAGCAACATCCTTAAACACTAATTCCCTGTATGTTAGTCGCAATACTTTTGTATTTGTGACATGAGACTGTTAACAACTGATTTGATACAATGATGGAGTACTTGGAATTATTTTGACTCTTGTCTATATGGGACCTAAACTGCTATGGTGAGAACTTTTTCTGAAGAAGGGTCTAGGCCCAAAACGTCAGCCTCTGCTCCTATGATGCTGCTTGGCCTGCTGTGTTCATCCAGCCCTACACCTTGTTGTCTTGGATTCTCCAGCATCTGCAGTTCCTACTATCTCTGATTCAATGGTGAGAACTTTCCAGTTAAGCAGTGAATACAATCTTTCACTGCACTCCCAGAGTATCAGTTGGCAGCACTACAGTTTGTTAATGTGGATTTTATTTTCTACTTGAAGGTTTTGGAGTAGATCTGTAGCTCGGGTTGTGGGTGTTGAGGTTGGTTGGCTTGCCGAGCTGGTTTGTCGTTATTTCCTACTTATTTCTTGAGGTGCCTAGAGTATACACTGTGCAAATACCACTTAGAATACTTTCCAAATGTAACTAACTTTTTATCCCGTGTCTGAAAAGATTTAAATCAGTATTTTCAAAGTTCACTGTCAAGCACTGAAATACTGATTTTTGCCTTGCTTTATTTAATGGCTTTTCTCTGGTCACTGGAGTAAAAGTTGGATATGATTTGCGTAAAGCTGTATATATTAGTCAGATAAGCAAGTGCTTTGCTCAGTGTAGCTCACTGTTTTCTTTCACTTTGTCCTTTCATGTGAAGGTGCTGCATGGTCTTCATGCCCTTAGATTGTCTTCTAACATTTAATCCAGCTTCATGTAAAGAGTACCTGAATCTGACTCCCAATATGTAAAACCTTTTGGGGGTTGCCATAACGTTGATAAAATTGGCCTTGGCCTGTTAGAGGCTGGGGTGCCAATATGAAAAGTTGTATATTAATCTCTAAGGATTATTTTAGCAACTCTTAAGGGTATGCAGTAAATTAATTTGGATTGCTAGTCAATGTAATTACTTTTCTCCACTTCCTGATTCACGTTTTATTATTGCAATTTCCAGCCTTGAAGGCCTGATGAATAAACTCATTGACAATATCCTTGTAAGTAGGCAGTGATTTTTACAGTGCAGTTCAATTGCTCAGCAATGATTCCTAAGGTTTTTGTATTTGTCCTTCATTTCCGTCCTTACCCAGGTTTATTCTTTGAAGCCAGTGACCTATCTCTTGTACCAAGACGTTGCTATACGATCAAATTACTAAGGCTAAACTTGTGCTTCCTGGCATTGACATTGTTTAGCTGCCCTTGATGTTAAGTCAGAAATCTGGTCTTTTGCTCATCACATGCTGTATATACATGTAGTCCTCTAGTTAAAATCAATTAACGCAGCACTGAAAACCAGGATTATTTTCACATGGTCTATCCAGCTACTTGCTCATTGAGCTTCTATCACAATGTTCTGATTCCTTTTTACAACAGATGGAGTGTCCTTTTTTGGCTATATTGTACTGTGAACCTATATCTATTCAGCTTACTAGCACGTGTTCATCTAGCTTCCTGTTAAAGGGCAATATCTTGCCCTGATTTTTGCCTTCTAGATCTGCAAATAGGCTTTGCAAATTATTGCAAAAGCTTATTAGTCTAATAATGAATTGAATCTGGCAAAGAGGCAGTGTATTTTGTAGTGGCAAATAAGGCAAATGAATACAGAAACTAATAGGATATTAAGTCAAACAATAGAATATTAGATCTATAAGGGAACCCAGAAATGTTTGCATGTTTGTGGACCTTGGAAGACAGTAGCAATGTTAGGTAGTTAAGGCATATGGTCTATCAGCTGAGGCAAGGAATCAGTGCTGGGGCTAAAATTGTGTTGTAGTGGTAGTGACTAAGGTGAGGAAAATGAATGTACTATAGCCATGGTTGGGTGACATGCAGGTGGGAAAGGCGAATGGTGTGGATGGCAGTCTGCAGAAGTATATAGACAAGCTGAGTGGGCAAAAAGTCTGCAGATGGAATATAATGTGGGAAAATGAGATTATGCATTTTGGCAGGAAGAGCAGAGGAACTGAATGCTTTAATCTGTAAAACTGCAGGACAATGCCAGAAGTTTGATTAAACAGAAGGCACTCTTCAGATCACAGCTAGAAGACATTTTGGCACTCCAGGCAGTCGGAGCACATTTAGTAAGCTAATACTGGGTATGGAGGGACTGTCTCAAGGAAGACAAAAATTAAGGTGTTAAGATTTTCTCATCCAGAAGGTAGTGAGTCTAGAATTAGCCACTAAAAGGTTGAAAAGTAGAAACTTTGGTTACCTGTTCAAAAGAAACTTGGATGCACAGTGCTCTCCCTAGAGGAGTGGATCTACAGAGCTGCAAAGTAGGTTTTGGTCAGAGCTGTTTTTGGCTAACCCAACAAGTAAATTCCTTTTCTAGTGCACTCTTAAACTATCCTGATGACAGTAGGAAAAATGCAGCTTTGAGAGATCCTTATAAATAAGGTCAAGGATGTTTCCACCCTGAAATTGTCAAAGCATTTAATGTAGAATGAGCATGTTCAATTGCATTTGAAATTGGAAACTTGAGTGTTTTTCATTTGACCTTCTAGAATGAAATGGAGCTATCTTAAATTATTTAATGCGTGCCTTGGTGCATGACTAAAATGATTATTTGAATCTTAGAATGTTTTTAATAGCATATTAATACCAACGCTGCCAAATTTTGTAGCTGGTAACATATTGAGGCTAATGGCACTTGCTTTATTTTTGTGGAATTTGGACAGCAGCTTCACGTCCTTGTCCACTTTAAAATGAAAATTGTAAAATTGCTGTGAAAAAATTTTATTGTTGCTTCCCATTCACATTTGCTGTTTAGTTTATTCAGCAAGTTGAGTAACTCAAATTTTGTTTCAAGAAATACTTGAATTTGTTCAATGCCTTTCATGACCATTGGCTGTCAAGAACTTGAGACGGAAATACTTCAGTGTACTGTAGGAACTGCAGTGAGCTCTTTCACATAGCAGTGCAGGGAGGAAACATACTTTACACTATCCAAGATCTGTTGAAACAATCTTCTAATGTCAGAAATAAGGATACAACTCTTTAAATCCTTAACCTTGAACAGAGATGGCTCTTCACTCGAGTGCAATGTCCACTATAAAATTCCTAGTTCTATTGGCATTACTGATTTTAGTTTCTAGAAGCTTCTTCCACCTTCTAAACAGTAATTGCTTGACTTCTTCTAAGCTATCGAATGAGTTTTCCCCCTCAGTTCCAATTTTTGGAGACCTCTAAGCTAGTGCATCTTTTTGTACTGACTGAACCCATGCACGCTACCTGACCTTGTAGATGGTTTTGTCTGAGATACTGAACCCCTGTCACTAGACACCAGTTTCCTTTCTAATGAGGCATCCTATTAGCTGAAGTTCTAGTCAAGGCTGTAAACCCTTAGTCCATCCATCACACATCAGGCACCATTCTACCACTCAAAACTAACATTGTTTGAGGGGAGACATGATTTATACTGTGTATAAACAAATTAAACTTAATGCATTACATTTGTTCTGTCTGCTTTTTAGAACCCAAGTTTCCCAGTAGTAGTAATGAATGTTCATCACTGCCAAATTTCAAAGGGACCAACAATAATCTTTCCTATTTTGATTCCAGAACCTGATTTTAATGTTGAATTCACTACATTGCTTACTAGTCAGACTTCATGCTCCTCCTTATCCATATAAAGAACTATTGTTAAAGATGTCACGTTTGCTTTCTTTCCTTAAAAGTCCAAAGTGCTTCGTAGAAGCTGCTGGACGTGGATCTTGCAGCAAATTTGTCAAGTTCCCCCATATTAAGTGCATGGGTAAAAATAATGGCTTATTGCTGATCATACTGTAGTCTGTCATGCTGATGCTGCAACAAAGCTGTGTAGTGGAGTCAAGTTAAAGTTCACTTGATCTTTCCACTTTAATAACCTCTGGACTGTGCTATGGAACTCAATATCTGCACTATCATAGCAGATTAAGTTGAATGTAGAAATTGTCAAGTGTGGTTGATTTTAACATGTGTAGGAAATCTAGTGGACACAAACATGTAGAAGCTATGTGCCTGCCCTAGATTTTTAGCGCACACAATGCTGTTGGTACAAACAGCCTGAAGTCAATATTGCAGAAATTGGATGAGCTGCTGCTTCTGAAGTAATCCATTGTGTGTGAACTCATCTGGCAAGAGAATTGTCTGTAAACTAAACTTTCATAACTTTTTTGCGGTGAAGTTGTCCTACAATGATGACAGTCATTAAATGTTCTGAATCACTTTCAAGTCAATATTTGTTTTTTTTCCCCCTCAGGTGGATTTGAAGAAGGCCTGACTGCAGTTAATGGTGAAGTATACCAGGTTGGCAAAAAGTTCTCTAATACTGCATGAGAGTTGATTACTGATAGTGTAACAACACATGTGAATTATATCAAAATTTAAGTTTGGTTTACTGGACATAGGTGATGTGAAAAGGGTTAGATGCAATTGTTTAGAGCACATTAGAAGTAGAATTGTAGTGTTGTCTCTGCTTTTAAAATACACTTTTATTTTTGAGCCTGTTATTTACAAAATTCTCTATACAAAAGTTGGATGGTTACATGTTAAGTGCCATTCTGTGGCTGAAGATTCAATTGGCTTCTCACGGATGTCCTTAACCTGTTTCATTTCAGTACTTTAGTGGTTCAGAATGCAAGTGTTGGAATTTTACAGGTTAGCTATTTACAATAAATCATTCTTGGTAGTTTTTACCAAGAGGTGCACTAAAGTGCTGTAACCTGGAGGCCAATGAGCTAGGAGCTGGAAAGATTAATAAGCAATGATATTGCTTTGGTCAGCATAAATTTACTACATTACTATATCATCTTTAAGGCGACCAATTTACTTTGTACTGAAAGTAAATCACGTTGAGGTACATCTCTGCCAATCTTTAAAATTGTCTCTTTCCATTTTTGATTTTGGATCGCCTTTAAAAGTGAACAAATGTTGAATTACTGATGATCCAAATTACAAATTGGGAAACTTGCCTCTGGCATACTGTGTGCAGTGGTAATTACAAGTGCACTTAAGTCACGAGAAGATTCTGAAGATTTACACTCAATTTGTACTGACCAGGTGCTAGAAAATGGACAAAAAATTAAGTGTAGGGGGCAAAACAAAAGGAAGTGATATTAAAATGTTATGATTATCACATCACTTGTGCATTGATGTCACAAGTGAGCATGTAAGTGGTGGTTTTGATGTCACAAAGCTTGGTGGCAGTACATCAAATGGTGGATTAATGTTAAAGGGAGAAACCTTCAACATACAAATGAAGCGAATAAAAACACTGATTGGACCCATCAGAGTATTCTGGGTACTATGTGCTTATTTTAATATAACATGAAGGTCAACTTAACAGAATTGTCTATATTCTTAAGCAGGGAAAGATAATTGCAGTCCCTTCAGTAGACATTGAGTCGTACTTGTATAATCATCTGTTTAATACAGGAGTCAAATTGTCCAAATGACAGTTATGCTGCAATAGCTCGAGCAGATCGCTTGAGCCAAGAACCCGAGAGCATTCGAAAATGGAGAGAAGAGCAGATAACTCGCCTAGAAAATCTTGGTAAGAGGAACTTGGTACAGTATCTGTGATTTGAAACCTTTGTCTGCGTAGCTATAGTAAGACAAGAAAATGCAGAATTGTTACTATCTCATGAGTTTGGAGAAAAGTTGTTCATTTCCATGTTCTAGATCGCCACCTTTTCCTTTCCTCGGTAAGGGAAAGAAGCTTTAGGCTACAAACATTTTGAATTAAATGTGACTTGTAACATCATGGAAAGTGGTAATTGTGTTTAATACAAACTTCGGTCGGGCTTGTTTGATATAACTGCTTATGCAAAAAAGTTCAGAATTCTAGATCTGTTGTACTTGAGACTGGATTGAGTTGGCTCTTTGTAAATGACAATATTCTATTCCCAAAATATTCAATCCTGCAAAACATTCTTTTCTAAGATGATTCTGCTGTTATCTGAATATTAAAGAAAATTGACACCTTAAGAATCCTCATTGGGTGTGGAAAACTTTCAATTGAAAATCAGTGGTATTGAGTTAAAACTGTTGGCAGTCATTTTTAACCTCCAGTATAAAACCAGTTTGCTATTGTACAGCTGAAGTATTCAGCCTAATGGCTTTTAATCTCCTTAGATGCTGCTTCTCGAAAAGCAGAAATGGAATGGAAAGAGAAGGCAAGAAAGGAACTAGAAGAATGGTATGTTCGACAGAATGAACAGTTGGAAAAAATAAAAAAGAATAACAGGTAAGGCTAGCTGTACTTATTTTACTACAGCTTAATAGAAAATGATTCCCAAATTCTGAATGTTTACTGAACTTAACTGAAATAAAACGTTGCTAATAATCAAATGTAGATTCCCACATGTATGTTTTCACTTGCATCTTTTGAATATTCTATGTTGTGATTCACTAAGTTGAGTGACTACAGAATGAAGCTTTCATTCTTGCTAAATTGTGTAGGTACAAGTTGAATAAAGTAAATGCACTCAGTTGAGTTTCAGTATTGCTATTAGTGGTTACTAGTAATATCTAAACTAAAATTTGTATACCTGAATAGTATTTTACAACTGTTTAAATCAGATTGCATTTGTAAATTCCATATTCAGACTTAATTTTAAATTTGAAAATTAATTGTGCTTTTCCCAACTAACACAATTGCAGACCCTCTTAATTCTAAAGGTTCCTTTGCATTCACATTAAAATGTAGTTTTGATGCAACCATAAATATTTGGGCATTTAAGCTGTTATGGAACAAGTGGTATGTTGGCATATGGAAGACAGCATAAATTCATTGAAAGTCATGTGTATATGAAATGAAGTTGCAGCATGTTAAAATGTTAACATGGGTTAACCTGGTACAATTGCCACATGGGTGTGAATGAGCTTGTTGGGGGAAGGCAGAAATAAAACAGTTGCTTTCTCTTGGTTGAGAGAGGTGCACAAGGCTTCCCTTAAATTGCTATGTGACTAAAATTTAACTTGGTCCATCGCTCCATCTTGTGTGCTTGGAGCAGCCAGCTATAGCTTATTCTTGCTGTTCAGACACCCTATGACCCCTCTGGGAAAGTTGGACTTAAACCTGAATCCTCTGGTCCAGAGGTAGGGATGCTACCACTGCACCACATGATTTAAGCTTTGTCAACCAAGACCAGTGTCTTGTGCATTTTTTTAAACCTTTGCACCGGCTTCTTCATTAGCCCATGTTTGTCATGTATTGGCTCTGGCATTGCATTTGCTTCATTTTAAAAATAGGGTAAGAGTTGCTGAACAATGATTCCAAATCCCTGGTTATTGCACAACCTGCAAGGAATATTTCTATGTAAAACCTTCTTTTCAATAGTTAACTTGTGAAATGCCTAACAAAGAAAATAGTAATTTAAAGCAAAACAGACATTGCTGGAAAAATTCAGTCTGACTGCATCTGTGGAACAAAAACAGTTAATGTTTCAAGTCCAGTGATCCTTAAGCTGAAATATAAAGCCTGCTTTACAGCTTTTAGCAGTGAATAGTAAATATTTAATGGGAATATTCCCATGATACAAAGATCTAATTGAATATTTTCATTGGCATCCTTAAGTCAGTTTTATTCCTTATACTAACCATTTTGAAAGACTTCACTTTCCTATCTATGGGTATTTGTAGAAGCAAGTGCACATATTCTAAGGTGTCAAAGGGGAAGTGATGGCCCAGTGTGTATTATTGCTAGACTGTTGAAACAGGAACTCGGCTAATGTTCTGGGGAGCCAGGTTTGAATCCTGCCACGGAGATGGTGGAGTTTGAATTCCACCATAAGAACATCTGGAATTAAGAATCTACTGATGACCATGGGTTGGGGGAGAAAACTCTTTGCTCATTGTCTGGAAAAGCCCATCTGAATCACTATAATATCTTTTCAGGGAAGGAAATTTTGTCATCTTCACCTGGTCTGGCCCACAAGTGACTTGAGTCCAGCAATGTGACTGATTCTCCAGACCCCTCTGGAGTAGCTTGCTATGCCACATCAAGGGCAGCTAAGGCCAAGCAATAAATGCTGGCCAGTTGCATCTTGAGTGAATTTTTAAAAAAGCAAATTGATCAGGATTTCAAAATGGAATCCTTCTTTCGTAGAAGCAAAAAGCACAGAAGCAAGAATTTAATCCTGTAACCTTAGTTTGGATGGATCCTGCCTAGAAATTGGTTTTCCCCAGTACTTTTTGGAACCTGTGAAATGTTGGAAGGTGTAGAGGGATTAAACTTGAAGGGGAAAAAGAACTTTGTCATGCGGAGAATGGAGATATTCAAAATTACAATGAGACAACAAGGTGCAGAGCTGGATGAACACAGCAGGCCAAGCAGCGTCATAGGAGCAGGAAGGCTGACGTTTTGGGCCTAGACCCTCCTTCAGAAATGGGGGAGGGGAAGGGGGTTCTGAAATAAATAGGGAGAGGTGGAGGCGGATAGATGATGGATAGAGGAGAAGATAGGTGGAGAGGAAACAGACAGGTCAAAGAGGCAGGGATGGAGCTAGTAAAGGACAGTGTAGGTGGGGAGTTAGGGAGGGGATAGGTCAGTCCAGGGAGGATGGACAGGTCAAGGGGGCGGGATGAGGTTAGTAGGTAGGAGATGGGGGTGTGGCTTGAGGCAGGAGGAAGAACAGGTTAGGGAGGCGGGGACGAGCTGGGCTGGTTTTGGGATGCGGTAGGGGGAGGGGAGATTTTGAGGCTTGTGAAATCCAAATTGATACCATTGGGCTGCAGGGTTCCCAAGCGGAATAAGAGTTGCTGTTCCTGCAACCTTTGGGTGGCATCGTTGTGGCACTGCAGGAGGCCCAGGATGGACATGTCGTCTGCGGAATGGGAGGGGGAATTGAAATGGTTCGCGACTGGGAGGTGCAGTTGTTTATTGCGAACCGAGCGTAGGTGTTCTGCAAAGCGGTCCCTGAGCCTCCGCTTGGTTTCCCCGATGTAGAGGAGGCCACAACGGGTACAGCAGATGCAGTATACCACACTGGCAGATGTGCAGGTGAACATCTGCTTGATGTGGAAAGTCTTCTTGGGGCCTGGGATGGGGGTGAGGGAGGAGGTAGGGGGGCAGGTGTAGCACTTCCTGCGGTTGCAGGGTAAAGTGCCAGGTGTGGTGGGGCTGGAGGGGAGTATGGAGCGGACAAGAGTCCCGGAGAGAGTGGTCCCTCCGGAAAGCAGATAAGGGTGGGAAGGGAAAGATGTCTTTGGTGGTGGGGTTGGATTGCAGATGGCGCAAGTGTCAGAGGATGATGCGTTGGATCCGGAGGTTGGTGGGGTGGTACATGAGGACGAGTGGGATTCTTTTTTGGTTGTTATTGTGGGGACGGGGGATGAGTTGCGGGAAATGTGGGAGACACGGTCGAGGGTGTTCTCGACCACGGGGGGATGTTGCGGTCCTTGAAAAATGAGGACATCTGAGATCCACAGGAGTGGAATGCCTCATCCTGGGAGCAGAGGCGAAGGAATTGGGAATAGAGGATGGCATTTTTTTTGCAGGAAGGTGGGTGGGAGGAGGAGTATTCTAGGTAGCTGTGGGAGTCGGTGGGCTTGAAATGGATATCGGTTTCTAGGTGGTTGCCCGAGATGGAGACACAGGTCCAGGAAGGTCCGGGTGAACTTAAGGTTGGGGTGGAAGGTGCTGGTGAAGTGGATGAACTGTTCGAGCTATCCGCTAAACCGATATCCATTTCAAGCCCACCGACTCCCACAGCTACCTAGAATACACCTCCTCCCACTCACCTTTCTGCAAAAATGCCATCCCCTATTCCCAATTCCTCCACTGCACCTCCCCAGAATGAGGCATTCCACTCCTGTACATCTGATGTCCTCGTCCTCGTCCTCGTCCTCGTCCTCGTCCTCGTCCGACCGCAACTTCACCTACCACTCCCCTCTGTTCCCCCCCGCCCCCTGTGGTCGAGAACGCCCTCGACCGTGTCTCCCGCAACTCATCCCTCTCTCCCCGTCCCCGCAATAACAACCAAAAAAGAATCCCCTCATCCTCATGTACCACCCCACCAACCTCCGGATCCAACACATCATCCTCCGACACTTGCGCCATCTGCAATCCGACCCCACCACCAAAGACATCTTTCCCTTCCCACCCTTATCTGCTTTCCGGAGGGACCACTCTCTCTCCATGACTCGCTTGTCTGCTCCATACTCCCCTCCAGCCCCACCACACCTGGCACTTTTCCCTGCAATCGCAGGAAGTGCTACACCTGCCCCCATATCTCCTCTCTCTCACCCCCATCCCAGGCCCCAAGAAGACTTTCCACATCAAGCAGATGTTCACCTGCACATCTGCCAATATGGTATACTGCATCCGCTGTACCCGTTGTGGCCTCTTCTACATTGGGGAAACCAAGCGGAGACTCGGGGACTGCTTTGCAGAATACCTACGCTCGGTTCGCAATAAACAACTGCACCTCCCAGTCGCGAACCATTTCAACTCCCCCTCCCATTCCTCAGACGACATGTCCATCCTGGGCCTCCTGCAGTGCCACAACGATGCCACCCGAAGGTTGCAGGAACAGCAACTCCTATTCTGCTTGGGAACCCTGCAGCCCAATGGTATCAATGTGGACTTCAAGCTTCAAATCTCCCCTCCCCTACCGCATCCCAAAACCAGCCCAGCTCGTCCCCGCCTCCCTAATCTGTTCTTCCTCCCGCCTCAAGCCGCACCCCCATCTCCTACCTACTAACCTCATCCCGCCCCCTTGACCTGTCCATCCTCCCTGGACTGACCTATATCCTCCTAACTCCCCACTTACACTGTCCTTTACTGGCTCCATCCCTGCCTCTTTGACCTGTCTGTTTCCTCTCCACCTATCTTCTCTATCCATCTTCTATCTGCCTCCACCTCCCCCTCTCCCTATTTATTTCAGAACCCCCTCCCCCTCTCCCAATTCTGAAGAAGGGTCTAGGCCCAAAACGTCAGCCTTCCTGCTCCTATGATGCTGCTTGGCCTGCTGTGTTCATCCAGCTCTGCACCTTGTCTCAGATTCTCCAGCATCTGCAGTTCCTACTATCTCTGATTTGAAATTACAATGGGCATTTTCTTGGTACACAAGGGAAACCTTTCTACAGTGTTCATAACCAGGAGGAGTGGATTTTGAGAACTGGCAGAATAAAACCAGTGAAAAGGTTGTTTTTGTCTGGATTCCACAGGCTTGAAAAGCTGGTGGTAGTAAGTTCAGTTAATGCATATGAATTCAACATTCAGTATTGAGTGAATTGGATACCTGTCAAGAGTGCAGGAGGACATGGGAGGAGCACCATTGGGCATACTTAAAAATGAATTGTCAACCTAGACTCAACTACTTTTACACGAAACAAGTGAGACAGGGCTAAGCAATTCCACAACCATTGACTTGGATGCAAGTTCTGCAGTCCTGTCTAAGAGTGTAAGGTGAGCAAGTGCTTTAGGAGATGTAAGGCTCTTCCTGCTAAGGAGCAGGGGAGGTAAGGGACAAATGTTCACGTGCAAGTTCTCTGCCAAGCCACGCTGCATCCTGACTTGAAATAAACTGCTGTTCCTTCAGTATTGCTGGGTCAAAATCCTGGAACTCTCTCCATAACTTTGTGGGTTGTACCTTCAATAAGTAAACAGCAGTATTTCAAGAAGGTAATGGAACACCTTTTTAAGGTTTCTAGAGCAATGAATGCTGCTGCAGCCAACAGAGCCCACATCTCAAAATTTTAAGCCAGCACTAATGCTACATAATCACTTTCTGCAATGACATGTAATTTGCAGAAATGTCTAATTCATATTGGAGATTTATTTGCAGCATTCGAACACTGCTGTTCCAAATACTAATGGTATTTGAACTGTTTATTTGAAGTAACCTTGATAGATTTTGCTAGTATAAACATGTTTGACCTTTTTTAACTGTTTTAAGTGACTATTCCATAAGTATATAGCTGTTCTTTTCTGAGCTGTATGCATTGACTGCAGATTTAGTGGTGATAACTGTAATTGTTCAGTGACTGTAAGTCTTTCATTTTTAAGACTAGAATTTTAGATATTGCTCTAATCTTATTTTCAACTGTTTTCCAATAGGCATCTTTGACCTTTTTTAACCACCACTTCTTTCCTAACTTTATTCCAGGCAAAGATGAAATACTTGCAACTGCAGATTACTAAATTCTTGCTAAAAATATTAACACTGTCCTCCTTCTTTTTTCTTTTATCCTTTTTCTACCCACCTGTTGCAACTTCTGTGCTCCTTTCCTGTTGGTCTGCGGGTTCACTTTCTGGACTAACATGCATGTGCACTAGGATCGCTGACGAAGCTTTCTACAAACAGTCCTTCGCTGATGTAATAGGCTACGTGTATGTTTGCTATTTTTCTTTCAATGCTCTGTAACATTTAGAATTTCACTGTTTCAAATCTTGATAAACTCTGACTTGGAGGTATTCGTACAATGTCTGCATGGAAAAATGTACAAACACTATACCTATAGAACCAGTTCTTTTTTTTTTTCAGCAGCACTTTTTTGGTTCCATTCCTCAAAGTATGGACTCACCGTTGACATGATTCCCTGGTCTCTGGCAGCACTGCATTTAAAATGAAAGCTGGTCAACTGAGACTAGTCTTTTAAATTTGTTCATCTTTGAGATGTTATCAATATATATGCCATGTCTTGCAAAAGTAACATGATTGTTAATGGTCCCTAGCTAAACCACACTCTGCAAGGAGGCCAATTAAAAGATCTCTTATTGTAATCTCTTTCTATAGATTGGATCAAATGCAAGACTCTTCACATCTTTCTAACTTAAATATTCAGACTTCAGTGATTCATCAGATTTTTGCAAACAAATGTGTTTTTCAAATACATGCCTCTTTAGTTAAGACTACACATTAACTAAACCCTGAACAATATGGTAATTGCTTTGAAGTCCTGGAAAACAATGCGTCTTAAATAGAATTTTTCCTTTTTTGGAATGCTGTCTTTAAGTTAATTCCAATTGACTTGTATTTGTCTTTCACTGGAGCCAGTGCTCCCAAAATTGTTTTACACTCTAGAAGAAGTGATTAGTCACTTACACTTAAGCTTTTCTCCCTATCTAGGAATTTCTGCATGTGTCCAAGGTTCTTGGAGTAGCTGGGTAGCTTTTCCTATGCAGAACAAGTGGTGTATTCTGAGTTAATAGCATACTTCTGTGTCTCTGTGCTTTGTCTTACAATTGACAATCACTTCAGTTTCACTGCATTATATCCTTAGTTCACTCAAGTTTACTTGAATAGTGCTTTCCAACAGCATTAAAGATCTTCACTCGGAAAAATAACATTTCACTTCTTCTCCAGTTAGTGATGCTCTTTGATCTGGCTTCATCAAACTGTTCCTCTGGTACCTATAACATGTATTTGTTTAGAGGGCTCAGCACAAATCTTGGGGTCCAAAAGTCCAGAAAACATTCTTTAAAAATTTTGCCTCCTATCTGTGCTGTGATTATTCCTTGGGTAGGCTCCACAAAGTCTTGCTGATGTGTAGTTTTTAATACTGAAGTCTTGTGTTACCTACTATATGGAAATGTTAATGCATATTTATGGGCATGTCATGAAGAAATGAATAGAAAGATGAGTAAACTCTAAACTTTGGGTCCTTGCATAGCTGAGATTGAGGTTGTTTAAGTAATGAGGCAAGAAAGGAATAGGTTCCAGAGTTGGCAGGATATGGAACAAGACCATAGGGATGCACCCTTGAGTCTAAGGGTTTAATGAATTAATTATTCCAGTATGAAGTGGGAGGAATGGAAAATATTCACCTGCTTGACTGAAGCAGAAACCAGGCCAGGTTTTAAGAACTGCTTGAAGGAAAAGGAATATTTCTTTGAAATGGTTGCGATCATGTCAACTAATCATCCAATTTAAATGCTACATAAACTTTGCTAGACAAGAGGTATCAGACTTATTCCATGTGGTTTTCATAGATTAGCTAAAGATGAAGGTTTTTGCTCACTGTTATTGCTGAGTTGGTGCCTCTGCCTATCTAGAGTGGGAAGTAGGCTTATTTTATGGACACTAAAGTGGATAGTATTGCTTTTGGTATATGCTCTTCCAATTTTAAAAAGTACCACTGGCAAAATACAAAGCTGGAGAAATGTTTGAAAGCCTGTAGCAAAAGGGCACATTGAGAAATGCAGAGCTGAAAATATTCAAATGCTACTTGTAAACCAATATTGAATGACAAGACACGATGCTTGGAACTACCTCAGTGCACAAGAATTTAAGAAGTTATTAGTGCTGATTTTTACACTGAGCTACATGAAATCTAATACCTGAAATTCAATTTGGCTTCATGTCACCACTAATCTCTAGTCTGGTTCTAATGCTTTTCTGCCTAACTTTGTGTTTCTGTAGTGAAAAATGTAATTTTCTATTCTAGATCTCAATGACTTCTTTGTGCATTTCATTTTAATTTCTTGCTCCAATGAAAGTGTAAGTCAGGATGTACTTGACCCATTTGTCTGGAAATATTTGAACCAGCTCCACCCATTCATCTCAGTTCTGTTCATCATGCTGTAACCCTGAAGTGTTTAACCTGTTAATCTGCTTTCAGACACATCTGTCCAAGCTGATCTTCACCCTCCTGACAATGAGTGAAAAGGATATTTAGCTTGTGATTTCAATGGAGTAATGAAAGTAAAATAGTTCCATAGTCTTGGTGGGTTTGTACTGGTCTTCAAAACAAGTATGGAAATGCACTGTAGAATCTTTCACTTTGATCAAGGTTTAGCTCTGTCAAAACTTGGTTGGTATTGTGCCTGATTACTTAATCTGAGAACTTGTCTAGCCAAGTTTTTGTATAGGAAAACAATGGGATGAAAGTAGAATTTGCCTGCATAGAAATATTTCTTTAGAGGTGAGAATTGTACAATGTTTAATTCTGGAATAAACACTGAATCAAGAGGTCAAATTGAATCTGAATTTTACAAATGCTGCTTCTAAAAAGCCTCAGCAGTAGCCTGAATTACATGACTGATTTCTTACCAGTCACTAAAAGGGAACAAATGATATTGATTCATAGTTTTGGTTCTCACTTATGTTGGTGGGGAAAGCTCACTTAAGTGGTTTTTTAAGCCCATTTTTAAATGACATTGCATATCACACAAAATGCAGTTCTGTTGAGAGAGTGGTTTTACACAGAATGGGAAGCTTGCTGTTTGTCTTGATGACACTTGTCTGAATCTGAATCTGAATCTGAACCTGAACTGTTAGGCCTCCTAAAATTTCTGCCTGGTGTAGGACAATGATCCTTGAAACAAGTAACTTGCAAAATCTTTGAAGCCTTGGTCACTGCATGTGGATGGCTTAGCCAGCTAAACTTTTTGGCCCATCTCCAGAGTTGTGGCTTGGTGTTGAGCCATTCTGACAAGATTCTAGATTCAATTCTTGGTCTTTCAATGCAGCTAATCTTGCTGAAGTGCTAAATAAGAATACTGCAAGTTGTCTCCAGCTGAACAGTTGGAACCAACGAACACTAGTGTTCCTGAAGGCAATTGCTGGAATAACCTATTGAGGATCTAATGGGTTGTGGACTGGAAGAAGAGTGCAGTATAGGTTTAGTCATATGTTCCTGAATTGGTGTTTTTTTTTAAGCCAGTCAGCTCACTGTTGAATAGCAGCTTTTAAAAGGTTTGTGGAATCTTGGTCCTGCTATTGGCACCTGTGCCAAATATGGGGTAGAGTTTGCTATCACTTGTCAGCTGTAGGAAGTAAGCATCCAAATGAACATGTTTCCAAGTCCAGTTTTGAAATTTACTGAATGTAATCAAATGTGCATATTTAGTGCTTCATCTGTGTCTTTGCTATTTCAGAGCTGCTGAAGAGGCCTTTATCCAGGATTGTAACGAAGATACACCTGGAACAGAATGGGAGCGAGTAGCACGTCTTTGTGATTTCAATCCCAAAACCAACAAGCAGTCCAAGGATGTATCGCGTATGCGTTCTGTACTGATATCACTTAAACAGTCACCATTAGTCCGCTAGACAGATGCTAATAACACTATCATGTGGGCTTCCCTACTGGCTCCCTTTGGATCCCACAATGACGGCCATTAGAATAGAAGGATGAGTGTTAGTCATTCCTGTTTGGACCAAACCAATGTAAATTACCAGATCTGAAATGTTCATGATTTTTCCTCTTTGAATTGTTTGTGGTTCATTGCCCAATAACTCAAGTAATTGGCAGTCCTGTAAACAATTGCCTTCACTCCAGAATTTCAATGTTTAACTTTCTCAATTACTGATATCCCTACACTGTCCTTGTGCTGCATCACATGACTATTTATGCATGAATTATGAGTGCAATCTATTGGCCTTTGTTTAAAAATCATGTTGACTACACTTATGCATTAAAGGTTACATATTAAAACACTTGTTCTCTTCAGTCTGTTTCAAAGCAATAACCATTATTTGAATCAGCTTCATCTAAACAGCCAAAAGATTCAGCCTATTTTCTGATCTCACCACTTTTTTTTTTAGAACAAACATATTTTATTCCATTCTGTTGGAGACAGTAACCTGTGATAATTTTAAGTTTAAAGACTTTTCTGGTTCTGCAACTCTTGACCCAAGATAGTCTTGGACTTTAATTTTCCACAGTACAAATGCACTCTTTTCCAGCTCTCTTGTTCTAATCTGCCTTACTTTACTAATCAGTACAGAAATATTTGTATCATCAATAAGCATGGTTGAGGTGCCAGAGAACTGGAGAATGGCTAATGTTCCTAATTCCTTAATGGCTAATTCCTTAAGGCTAAGGAGAAGCTTGGGAACTGTAAATCCGAGTTTGACATCAGTGGTGGGTAAGTAGGAGATTCCTTCTGAAAGATAGGATTTGGATGTATTGAAAGGAAAGTAATGATTAGGGATAGTCAGCATGGTTTTGTGCAAAGATGATGTTTACTTGGACTTTCGTAAAGCCTTCTGCAAGGTTTCACATGGCAGACCAATTGTAAAATTGGATCACGTGGGATTCAGGGTGAACATGCCAATTGGATACAAATTAGCTTTGGTAGGAGACATGATGGTGGAGGGTTGTTTTTAGATTGGAGGCCTGTGACCAGTAATGTTCCACAGCAATCAGTACTGGGTCCACTTTTTATCTCAAATGATTTGGATGAGAATGAGGTAATAAGTGTGGATGACACAAATTGGTGGTAGTCAACAGTCAAGATTACAAAGATTTAGATCAGTTGGCTCAATGGGCTAAAGTGGCAGATGGAGTTTAATTTTTGGATACGTGCAAGGCATTGCACTTTTTGCTAAAAACAAGGGCAGGACTTGTACAATTGGTCAGGCCTTAAATAGTGTTGAACAGACCTAGGGGTTCAGGTATAAATTTGAAATTTGTCACATAATGTGGTTAAAATGTTTGGGATGCTTGCCTTCACTGCTCAGTCCTTTGAGTATAAAGGTTGGGATGTTGAGGTTGTACATGTTGGTGAGGCCTCTGGGATATTTTCATTTGTAGGTTGAGGGGTGAGCTTTTTATTTGAAGTTTAAAATCATGGGGGTTGCTTAGCTAAGTGAATAGCAAAGGCTTTTTCCCTAGGGTTGGGGGCATTCAAGAATAAGGGGCATATTTGAGGGGACGAGAAGAATGTCCTAAAAGAAATGAGGGACAACTTTTTTAACCATAGTTGGTATAGAATGAACTGCCAGAGGAAGTGGTGGATGGACATATAGTTACATATTAAGTGACATCTAAATAAGTACACGAATGGGGAAGATTTTTGGGGGGTAAAGGCCAAGGTCAGGTAGGTAGGACTAGTTTATTTGGGAACATGATTGATTGGCCCGGACTAGTCAGACCGAAGTGTCATACAGCATGGAATCAGACCCTGACTGTAAGACTTTGACCTATAAACTCCTCATTTAGGTTTCCAATGGTTTGGAAAAATCTCATCTGTGCTCAAGATTTGAGCTTGCACTATTGAGCTTTCTTTCTGGTTCTCCTATATTTTTAGGCTGACTGGATATCCCAGTTTTAAAATCCTCATGTCCCAATAGTTTCCGAAATAGCTCAAATCCTGGTATTTGCCCTTTCCCTTTTTTCCAAATACTGTCTGTCTGGGCCTAGGTAGTGGGTGAAAACTAAGCTCATCCTTCATGTAAGAACTGTCTCAGACCTATATTCTGTTGCCCCTGTGATCCCTTCAAGGGAGTTGCCCTGCCTTGGTTCTGCTAGTTTTAAATAAATGCAATGAAACCATTTATAGGATAAGCTTGCCAATTTTGGCTGGACAAATTACAAGAAAGTTATGATGTTTCCACCTTCAGCTACCTTACTTGGATTCTTGTAACTACCTTCTATGAAGGAGTATGATCCAAATAAATTCAATGGATTCTTCATATGACCTTGTGATAACTCAACTCATCATTCACTTGAACTTCAAAAATCACAGGCTTCCAAGCACTTTACTGACTTCCACTGAAATACAATGATGCCTTTTAAATAGCAGTTTAGCCATCTGGATTGCCACGCCTTTGTTAACTGTTTAATCTGGGAGCTTGATTTGAGGTTGGCAATTTAGTTCCACCTCTGCTTAAAAAAATAGCACTACAATGCATACACAAATTGTTTTGGTCAGGTTTGAGAATAGGCTTGCTTTTGACACTGGGCTGGTCGAGGAAAAGTGATTGTAATTCTACTTCACTCCACTGACAGATCCAGATTTGCTTCGGTCTCCACTTCCTGCACATTGTTTTCTGCCTGAGGTGCACATTTTCTTGCCACTTTGCTTCTTCCAGTTGATTTGTATCATTTGATAGCTTTTTAACTACTGCAAATGATTCCACCTTTTTAATTCAACTTGGGGTTTAATTTTTCCACACATATTGATGTACCTCAATCATTTGTATTGGGGCCTGCCAGTTTTGCCGTATCTCAAGGTGTTTGCTTGGAAAGTGAAGCTGCATTTTAAATTAGTTATCTCTTACACAGTTCACCTATCAAACCTGTTTTAACAGTCTCCACTGGCTAATGGACAGCAAGTTGCCTCCTAAAGGTGCACAGAAGAATGCATGTTACTTCAGACAGGAAGGGTTCATTTCAAAGGTTAAACTCTTACCCAACCAGTTAGTTTTTTTTTCCTTCCCATCAAGATTGTCATCCTTCCTTCTGATTTGGAGCCTGAGGGCCATGATTCCTGCTATGCTTGTTTAGCAAACACCATGTTCCAGAGTAACTTGCTCAGATATTTATGAACATTTGCACAGGAATTTGGTTTTGTAACTTTAAGTTTTGCAATGTAAACGTACATACCTTTTGCAAAAAAGACAACACCCTTCCTTGAGCTTGATGTTAATACAGCCAGAGTCTGCTGATTTTCTGAAGGTTGGGGGTTGAGGGGGGTTAAATTATCATCTTTGCTGCATTTCTTATGTTTGAAAGTAGATGGGACTTTTGCCTGAACGCTTAATCAAGTTGCTGAATTTCTAATGTCTCCCATGGAGATCAGATGTCCGGTAACAATAATGCCTTAAGAGTGAGCTGAAATGTTTCTTAAATAGTGTAGCCACTCACTTTGAAAGATGTTTGTTTAGAGTATCTCGCATTCAAAGAAAATTTTAGTATTTTTGTTTTCAAACATTCTTCCTCCACCCCATCCATACATCAAAAAGAGAGAATTTAACTAATTCTAAGAAGTTTTTTGTTTTTACATTTGAGGTACCCCAAGCAATGATTGTGTTCATTTTGGTAGAAATGTTAATTACCCATCCACATTTTATCATTGGATTTATGTAATGAATTAAGTGATTTTCATACAATAATTGTTTGAGGACAAACCCTACCTCCTCTCTCTCCATGTATTCATATGTGGAGTTGGTATGTAAACAAAAATGGAAATGTTGGAAAACATTTCCACCACACTTTTTTTTTAAAGCAGTAATGTTGTGGTGAGGTGTTTACTCAGCTGCACTAGGAATGTATTCTGATTTCCTGAGGATAAATGTAAGTAGATCTTTGGAAGTCAGATTGTGATCTAATGACCAAGTCGATGTACATTCATTTCATGTTGGTGCTATACTTCTCATTTGTCTGGATGTAGACAATACAATATTGATCTACAATACCTGGTTGTGATTTGGTTTCTTGATGATTATATCATTCCTGCTGTAGCAAATGGAAGATTTAGTAATATGACCAGGAACTCCAGTGCTGTCCACTTTTCATGGTTTCTTTTTTCATTTACTGTTTCAGCTGGTTGCATTGCCTGCTAATACTTCGCACAGTTAAATATGTAGAGTGATTCCACCCTTACTATTAATGTTGTTTTGTTAATTTCCTGTTAATAAGGTTGTCAATACAAAAAAACTTGGCTAAATATAAACTGCACTCTTTTTTTTAATTATTTGGAATTAGATCTCGTACATATGCACTTTTTTTTGTTTAAAGTTTTTAACTTGGTGCAGGCACACTTTTTTTGCTGTCTAATTTTACAAGCACGATTACTTTATTTTTGTGTATGTGGTTCCTCAGTTGTTAGTGTGACTCAGACTAAAGTTCTGTTATGGATTTTGATTCCACTTCATTACTTGAGCAAGAACCATGGCTACTATTCCAGTGTACTGCTTAGATTCTGCTTGTCAGATGAGTGGTTAACTTAAGGCTGTTCTTTTCCAGAAAAGATCCCATGACACTATTCAAGAACAAATGAGTTATCCTTGATGTCCTGGGCAGTTCATATAGCCCTCTGAATGTGATTTCACCATTTGTAAAAGGTGAATGTTTGAAATTCCTGTGCTGGTACGAAACTGTAAATGTTCAATTTTTACCAAAATCAAATGGAAGAAAATTACTGCCAACTTACACCGCAACCACATTTTTCAAACTACTAGTTTACATAGTCATAGTTATGTAGCACCAAAACAGACCCTTAAGTTGAACTGATCTGTACCAACCAGATATCCTAAACTGATCTAGTCCCACTTGCCAGCATTTGATCCATATCCCTTTTACATTTCCTATTCATTTTAAAATAAAAGTCATCAGAAGGGTACTAGTTTTAAATACAACAGCTTGTGTGTTGATTCTGGCAGTGTCACTTTTTTTGCTCATTTGGTAATGCTATTACGTTCTATATTTTTAGTCACTCATGAGACTGGATGTCACTGGCTAGGCCAGCATTTATTCTCAATCCCTAATTGCCTGGAGGGCAGTTAAGTCAGCCACATTGCAGTGGGTCTGGAATTGCATTTGGGCCAGATCGGGCAAGGATGGCAAAAGGGGCAATGCTATTTTAAATCTACTGTAAAAGATCTCTTGGCAAATAGTGATCATAATACAGTTGAGATCCATATTTTGGAAATTATATAGTTGAATTTTAAACTTGTTTTTGAAATGTTAGGGTTGCAATGATCTGACATTA